GTCATCACTATGTAACACTAGCGCTACAACACATTGTACATGATAGGCTAAGGGGCGGGACATATCTAATCTGTTGACCAATCAAAACAGAGCCGGCCAGCTAACCAATCAGAGCAGACTGGGCTCTGGTTTCAGACAGAGGGTGAAAAGTGGTACTGCAGCACAGGCAGTATGAGAACAATAAAGAACTTTTTGAACATTAAAGCATGGAGACATATCACAGGAGAGACACTAAATACTGATATAAACCTGAAAATAAGATGGCAAACATTCCTCTGGCATATATTCCCAATCCACTAATGTAGAAGTACAATTAAAACAAATCATACAGAGGTCAGAAGATCATATATCAATGTTTTGAAAACCCAAGTTTTATTTTTTCATGACATTTCTTATCGCATTCAACCAAGCTATAAATTAGGGAGGGGGGATTAGAATTCTCCAAATGTAAATATTGTGTCACTTTCTTGAAATGTGGGACAAAGAGGATTTAAAGGAAGGTTAAAGTCAAAAGCTTCGTACTAAATAATGGGCCACAAAAGGAGAACATGCCATGAGGAAAACATTAAATCGCATTCTGATATATTGTCATTAGTATCAGAAACAGATTCCATGTCTGCGTCAATCAAGTAAAGTTCAAATCAGCACTATTTTTTTTTTTGCTGTATTCCTAAATTCTAGCAACCCCATTTAAGTATTTCATAATGACTTCAAATATTATTTACATTTTCTTAGTAAATATTTCTATTTTACAAAGTGCATGAGGTCTTTCTCCTGTAGTCATAGGCAGTCGTTTTAATGGTTTCACTGTGCAACCATGTGTTAATTACATCTTAATGTATTCAAGTCAGTCCATATCATTTCTAAATAACTACAGTGATCATTATTATCATTCATATTGTGGTCATGAGTCTGGGCCACATCACCGTCCTTGTGCGTTTAGTCCACCAACACTTTAAGCCAGATAAAATGCATACATTTATGTACAGAAACAATTCCTTTCTGTAATTATTCAAGTAAATGATTTCATTAAGCGTCCAAACCTGCTTGATTCTTATCAAAGTTAATACTCCGTCTCCATCAAAGACACATTGCGTCCATCTAAAAACACACCACATATGTCATTTCACACTATTATTTACAGTATAGTATTGTCTTTTTTTCATGAATCATCATAACTAAACAGTCCTTATACAGTGTAGATGATGATAAATAAAAAAAAGTCAAAAAGAAATGTGGTAACCAAGATGCTTAAAAATAAAAGGTCCAGTTTGGCCTGTATCTACCAGGTCTTGGGAGTTCTTCTTACCTTAAAAACCCACACAGTTGCCAGGCAGATAACTAGAGCTTGGAGCTGAAGGGCAGCCCCTCGTACATGTCGGCCTTGAGCTTGGCCCACTCGGCCACCCTCTGGATGGTGCTCTTCTCCTGGCAGAGCACGCTGGCAGCCTTCTTCAGCTTGGCCTCGTTGCGCTCCAGGTAGCTCTCGGCCTCGCCCTTCAGGAAGTTGAGCTTCTCGGGGCGGCTCTCGTTCAGCGGGATGTCCTCGCTCATGTAGGGGTTGAAGCGGAAGTAAGTGCCAGGGGGGAGGAGGGCGTCCAGCATGGTGTGCACCTCTGGAATAAGGACAGGAGAGTACTGCTTTTAAAAAGGTCATCTATTATACTGTTTTTCATCAATACTGTATATTACAGGTCTCAGATATATACAATACATGTCTCTGAAGTGCTTGGCTCCAAACACCAAACAGATCATTGCAGCATTATTGCAGCATTATTCATAATCCCCTCTGTTCCAACCCTGTTTCAAAAGTGCTGATTCTCTGTCTGTTAATGGTGCTCTAGGAGGAGATTCAGGTGATAAGGGGGGGGG